TTGTAGAAAAACATAAAAAAAATTCCCACCAATCCCTATGGAGACGATACTCAATTTACTACTATATTACTTGCTCGATTGTGTAAACTTGTACATATTTTCTTGCCTTATCATATACATTTACAAGTGATCAAGTTTTTGGTGCCGTTGTCAGGGATTGGCAACTGGAGGAATTTTGAAAATTTCTGCCATAATATATTTTTAATTTCTTGTCACTTTTTTTATTTAGTTTAACTCATTTGTTTTCTTATTTTTTTATAGGTTCGTGTCGTTGCATGACCAGGAGATCTACTGATGAACTATTAATACCATTCGACCCTGAGATCAAATAGTCATTCAGACAAATGAGACGTACTCGGCGTACTAGAGACTATATGAATCGTCTGCAGTATCAAGCTGATAATAATAGTAAGACCAAGTAGATCTCGATGTCGCAACAAATAATATTCCCCAAAATGTTGCAAGACCATGAGCTAATACGAGATCACTTAAATCCTATTATCGATGATCTCAACCCCATAATCGTGGCACCGAAAATATATGCAGCTCACTTTGAACTCAAGCTGGTGATGTTTAACATGCTTAATTCTATCAGTCAGTTTAGTGGCTTGCCTAATGAAGATGCTAGATAACATGTGTGTGCTTTCCTTGAAGTGTACGACTCGTTTAGACAACAAGGTATGCACGAGGACGTGTTGAAACTAAAATTATTCCCACTCTTTGTGGGACCGAGCAAGAGCGTGGTTAAGTGGATTTTCATCCGGGTCAATGGAATCTTAGGTTGACTTATGAAAAAAATTCATACTTAGATACAACCCACCCAATATGCACACCCAGCTCCGCAATGACATTGCAAGTTTTTACCAAAGAAATGATGAATCTATGTATGAGTGATGGAAAATATACAAAAGTTTGCTTCGTAAGTGCACTAACCATGGATTCCACAACTAGACTCAAGTCTTCATTTTTTATAATGGTGTTAATGCACCTACTCGCATGATGTTGGATGTGTCAGAAAATCAAACTTTGCTCAATAAATCACCTAAGGAAACCTTTGATATCCTCGATCAGATAGCCAATAATGACTATCAATTCCCGTATACAAGGCTTAGAACTAGCAGGAAAATATCTGGGGTGTATGAACTTGACAGCAAGGATTCAATTTCTACCCAACTTTCTGCCATAACTAACATGCTAAAAAATTTGCAGTGTTTCAGTAAGGTGAAAGAAATCAAGGCAACTAACTCAACATGCATTTTCTGCCACGAAAACCATAATGAGAGTGAATGCCCAAAAAACCAAGAGTCCATCAATTTCATGGGCAACTTTAACATAAGCAACAACAACCCCTACTCTAATACATACAATCCTGGATTGCGAAAACATTCAAATTTTTCATGGGGGTAATCAAGGGAACAAAAATAACAATTATGCAGAAAAATTTAACAGACCATAGAAAAACATTTTTGAACACTCAAGTTCGCAACATCAACAGATGCCCTGGTAAGGTAACAATAAAAGTAATGCATTTTCATCAAATTCTAACTCCCTTGAAGCTTCACTGTAGGAATTTATAGCCTCGACAAAAGATTTCATGGCTTCAATAAAGACCTTGATACACAAGCACTCGTCAATAATCAAGAATCAAGGTTCTTTATTACAAAGCCAAGCAACTCTATTACAAAGCCATAGTTTATCATTAAGATTGTTAGAGAATCAAGTGGGCCAAATAGCCAGAACAATACATTCTCAGCTGCAAGGAACCCTCCCTAGTAATACTCAGGTCACTAAGCCTCACAGGAATGAGCAATGCAATATGCTTACACTTCGGAGTGGTACCCAAATTAATCTTGATGATAAGTTTGGGGGAGAGAACTAAGAAATTTCTCTCCGAGGGACTATATATCAAGAATCTGAAGGCCGAGGATAAATTGCTGAACAAGAAGAATTGCCTAAGGAGAAGGAAAAGGATGCGACCTCAACAAGTCATCACACTGATGGTGAAAAGTTATTTGTCAAGGCAAAAGTTTCATCACCACTTGTAGCAGATGAAGCTAGACCTCTACCACCCTTCCTTCAGCGGTTGAAGAAGCATAATGACGAGATCCTGTTCAGAAAGTTTGTTGACGTCCTTGACCAGCTGTAAATCAATGTTCCACTACTTGAAGCCAATGAGAAAATGCCTTCCTATGCCAAATTCTTGAAGGACATTTTCACAAAAAAGAGAAAGGTGGAAAGACTAGAAATTATTGCCACATCAAAAAAATATTGTTCAGCAATGAGTAAACTTCTGCCGAAGCAAAAAGATCCTGGCAGCTTTGTTATACCATGTTTCATCGGTGATAAAATGTGGAAAGAGCTCTTCGTTACTGATCACTTGTAAATGTATATGCTAAGGCAAGCAAATCTGTGCAAGTATACACAATCGATGCAAGTAATATAGTAATGAGTGAGTATCGTCTCCACAGGGATTGGATTAGAAATATATTTTTACCACAACTAGAACTAATGTCACGAATTAACTCCTACTAAGTATTTGAACTAAGAACTAATACGAATAAACTAAGAAAAATGTTTCAATGATTTCAGAATAATGTAGTCAAGATAAAGGAAATATGCAGACAGATAAAACAAAACAAAACAAGTATTGGTTTAAATATAATGCAAACAACCTCTCATATTCAGACGTGTCATAGAGCATTGATGCTAAATTATTGTCTTGACAACAATTATTCTAAGTTCTGAATGAATTATTACGCCTCACTAAGCTGCCCGACAGGATTACTAGGTATTCTTGGACGGTTGCTATGGTAATACCTCTCGGTGTTAACTATAGAATTTGTCTTAACCTACTCTAGCAATTATCCCTTTTAGTCGCTTGAAACTCACTCCTTATCTCTAAGGTAGACAAGTTAGAACTTCACCATCCCGAATTCATTCCTTTGCTCACGTTGATATATCTTAATTCCCTGGAATCTAAGAATCACTATCTAGACAAAAGGCTATCTCTCGATGCTCTCACAATTCCAAGACATGTTTTATCGAAACCCTAGGCGATCTCTCGATGCTCTTACAGTGTTAAGGCAAAATATTTAAACTATGAGTAAAATAGTCATAAGCAAACATAATTCGTCATTCATAAACATAAAAATATTGTTTAAGCAAAACAAAGTTTAACACAAAGTAAAGCATTCATGGTGTTATCAAAGATCATGCAAGATTTAACTGTTCAATACAACCCCAAATAAAATAAGAATTAAGAACAAAGGAAGAATGACTCCCAAAATCAGGGGCTCTATCGCGACAATCCTGATCAGCACCTCGCCTGCCTTGGTGATCACCCTCTCTCGAGGCCTGATCACCGCTCTGCTATCGTCTGGCTATGGAGGACACCAAGGAAGATTGGTGGTTAGACAGTGGGAAAGCACTGCAGTTGTTTGCTCACGCCTTAGGTAAAGCTCGTCTCTCTTCTTCCTTGCCTCCCCTTTTTTGCGGCTACGACTGAATATTTATAAGGAAAAATCTCCTAGGGCTTTGCATGTTTTTGGAGTTTCCTTAATTAGCCATTATTAATTTCCCAAGGTTAAAAAGGAAAGGCGGCTGTCAGAACAATCAAGGCTTACTTGCACGTGAAGTAGGTAATCCAGCTGGCATGTGACATAGGCGGTTTCACGACACCTGCTTCAGAATTCTTCAAATAAATCTTGCCTCGACGAGATAAATCTACTCTTCACGTTCTCTTCTGTTCAGTTGGCCTTTGCAACTTTTCATTGTCATGACTAAAATGTTCTTCCTTTGTAAATTCCTGCACAAACACAACTCAACAACCCTTTCTCCTCAGCAGCATCAGTCAAGCCAAATAAATCTTGCCTAAGCAAAACTTATCCACCACAGGGTAATATAACCTATATGCAACTAAAACAACTAAAAATGCAGTGCATACTTTGTTTAGACGAGCAATAACTTATGTGAAAGACTAGAAATTGAGTCTTTTTATGGAGTTATCACACCCCCCAAACTTAAGCTATTTCTTATCCTCAAGCAATGGATAATAGCTGGAAGAAAATAAAAATTGTCATGGCAAAGCAGTATCAAGAACATCATCAGGTTTGAGACAACCCTCAGTAAAAATATTTGGCCTCAACATGTTCGACAGTCATATCAGTCAAGTCCCTTCTCTAGTCAGGATCCTTTGCTATGGTGTGTGCGTGATTGTAACCAGTCTATGCATAGAGGTAATTAGAAAACTTAAAGTAAATACTTCTAGGTTGTCAAGGTAACAAACTATTCACCAAGCTTAGTTTATACTCCTAGTTATTTATCAACTTTTATTCTCTTTATTCACACATTTTTTATAGGGTAGTCAGCTCATCACACCAACCGTTCCACACTCTAGGTGAAAGGGAGCATACCTTCTACCCTTAAGCTAGTCGGGCAGAGTCATCCTGTGACTACTTTCATTCACTCATATGCCTTGTATACTCTTAATTTCTTTTGGAGTTTTTCTTGTTCATGCCTTTGCACAGAGGAGTGTCCATTTGTATTTTTCAAGTTTTTAAACACTATAGAGTTTTTACTTTACCCTTAGAATATTTTTTGAAGTCTCGGCAATTATAAAGTTCTTTCCTAAAAATTTTACATATTACCTAGAGCAAAACATCCTACAATCGTGTTTATAAATTTAAAAGAATCAAGGCTGGGGTTGGTTCTCTTCATTTGACAGTCTTAACAATAATTTCTGGCATAGGCAATAAAATTTTGCTTTCATCATTGGATATCCCTAATTCATTCCTAACAATAATCTTAACCTGCTTATGTCATGACAATCAAAATTTTCAATCGATAAACATCAATTACTATTTAACAAAGTATGGCAGAATGGTAAATACCTCCCCCAAACTTGAGGGATGCATTATCCTCAATGCATGAAAACTATACTATATGTTTTATATCCAGATACAAAAAAATTAAAAAGAAAACGATAACTAAGAAGAATAAACTTACTTTGGTGGGGTGGCTTGACTGGATGCCCTCGTGCGGTGTCGTTTGGGAGGAGAGAGACTCTCGGATCTGGAGTTTACTACTGCTGGGGATGGAGATAGCTGAAGTATACGTCCTGATATTCTCTTGTAGCGCTTCTTGCTAGACGAGGTGCATGCTGGAGTGGACTGCTCGGTCATAGGAGTCTGTTGTGTTGGGACGGGTGGTGGACTAGGAATTTCTGTTGGGACTGGTGGTGCTGATTGAGCTGGGGATGGAATAGGATCATGGTTGGGCTGCTTCGGTGTTGGCGTGAAATCTTCATCAGTGAAAAAGTGGGGTGGAGTATCATCGCTACTTTCGGTGGTCGAAAAGGATGAGGAACTGAGGAACTCTTCTGTGTCTCCTTGGCCTTCTTCTAGTACGGGTGAGAAATGGGTTGCCAATGGTGGCACATCGGTGGGAACTTCTGGTGGAACTTCGGAGGGACATAAGATGTCGAGGCATGGAATGCCCTACCGCCTGCATTGTAGTTGAGGATAACACTGGGAAAGGTTGGCAGTCTGATCATTGTGGTTGGTAACAACTCCTTGATGAAGGCGTTGAGTCGCATGTCCTTGCCTTGGCATACTCGAAGTAAATTTTCATGTGGTCCTCCAGGCGTCCAATCTTTTCACGCGTCTCTCACGTGTGCTTGACCACAGCGGCCATTCTAGCCACGGCAACCGATTTTGCGCCCTGCTCCAAACCTTCCTACGGGTCGTCATCATTGAAACACATCAACTCGGGGACCTTTTTCTTTGTAATACTCTCCTTGGGTTTGATGAAATCTTCGAATGTTTCTTCAAGAACTTTTTTCTTAATGTACAACACGGTTATAAGGTTTAGAAACAGTAGGTTACCCCGATTCCATTTGGCATAGTCATGGATCTGCTCAAAGATGATTTTTCCCATGTCGATCTTCTACCATATATGATCCAGTGCAAGAGCAGCAATCTCTTGACGAGGATAGTGGTGTTGTGGGACGTTGGCATCAACTTGCCTTTGAGAAAGTGGTTCCACAATTTCACGTACGATTTTAGGGCTCGACGATCTACTCGTTTCCTTGTGGGGGCATTCCATTCGAACTTGGCCCACCCAAAGCATAAATCCTGTAGAAATCTATTGTACATTTCTTGATCTGCTTCGGCCACAAATCTCTTGTGTTGGTCATCCACTTTCCCTAACTTAAAGTATTTGTTGAGTGTAGAGGGGGAGAAGCGAATGTGTTTTCCTCGATAATATACTGTGTGGTTGGAGGGGTCCTCAAGATGGGTATAGAACTCCCGCACCATTGCTAGTGCTGCGGCATTAGGATTTCGAGCAAACTTCTCCCAGGTATGTTTCTTTATGACGTCCATCACCTCGGGTGCAAACGGCTCCTCGCCCTCGGCTGAAAAAACGAATCCATTTCCAAATATACTTGGCGTTGCTGAATGGTTTTGAAGTGTGCTTCTGTTTCGGTTGTTTGGAAATGTTCGAAACTCTGTTTGGGGGCTGGGGCCGGTCGTGATCTTACCATTTTCTTGACTGAATTTATTGGTGGCGACGGGGAAGTATTTTTTAGAGAAAGAAAAAAATTATGGTTTATAGAGAAAGAGGGAAACACGATGAAGAAGAGGTGGGTGGGTAGTTTTTCTTGGAAAATGATGGGTGGTTTTGGGGTATTTTAGTCTTTACACAGTGGGGAAAAGATTTCTCATTAAATGAGAAATATGTGATTTGACATAAAGGAGGAGAAAAGATTTATTCCCCCTTTACTTTGTCGCCAAAACCTTGTGCCCTAGTTTGTCCTTTTTTCTTCATGCATGCTTCAACTCCCCATGCTGCCATGTGTTCCTTGCTTGCCTATGCAACAAATATTTTCTCAATTAAAGTAAAGCAAACTCTTGGGCATCATGTGCCAACGATGCCAGTTTGTCACGTATGATTGGGGCTCCTTTGTACTCGTCGAGTCTCTGTCCGTTCACCTTAAAGACAAAACCATCATTTTGGTTCTGGATTTCAATTACTCTGTTGTCCTGGACTTGGTAAACAATGAATGGTCCTGACCATCTCGATTTTAGCTTTCTGGGAATAACTTAAGGTGTGAATTGTAGAACAGTACTTGTTATCCAGAATAAAATTGCCTCGGTAATATTTTTTTGTCATGCCATCGTTTTGTTTTCTCCTTGTAAAAGCGGACATTCTCGTATGCATATGCTCTAAATTCATCCATCTCATTCAGCTCCAAGAGTCTTATTTCTCCAGCAAGCTGAGCATCCATGTTTATCTTTTTGATGGCCCAATAAGCTTTATGTTCAAGTTTAACCGGTAAATGACATTCCTTCCCGTAGACCAGCTTGAATGGGGGCATTCCAGCGGTGTCTTGAATAATGTGCGATAAGCCCATAGTGCTTCATCTAGCTTCGGCGACCAATCTTTTCGACTTGGGTTAACCACTTTCTCAAGGATCTGCTTGATTTCTTGGTTAGACACTTCGACTTGTCCATTCGTCTAAGGGTGATACGCCATAGCGATTCTATGTCGTACTCCATATCTTTTCAGTGCCTTGGCAATCAGTTTATTGTCAAAATGTGTGCCTTCATCGCTAATGATAGCTCGTGGTGTTCCAAAGCGGGTGAATATATTTTTGTGCATAAACTTCAACACCGTCTTGGAATCGTTCTTAGGTGTTACAATGGCTTCAACCCATTTTGATACGTAATCCACTACCAAGAGAATGTACATATCTCCGAATGATGTTGGAAAATATCCCTTGAAATCTATTCCCCATACATCGAAAAGTTCGATTTCCAGAATGTTTTGCCATGAAATCTCATGCCGTTTCGAGATGTTTCCTGTTCGTTGGCATCTATCACATGACTTATAGAATTCATGCCCGTCTCTAAATAGGGTTGGCCAATAAAATCCAGACTGAAGCACTTTTACTGTTGTTCTCATTCCACCAAAATGTTCTCCATATGGTGACGAGTGGCATTGGCATAGGATATCTTGTTGATATTCTTCTGGAATGTATCTTCTGATTATTTGGTATCCGCATTGCTTAAATAGAAATGGTTATTCCAGAAGTAATGTCGCACATCATGTCGAAATTTCCTTTTGCCCTGGCTAGATAAATCAAGTGAAACAATACCACTAACAAGAAAATTAACTATGTCAGCATACCACGGTACAGTCGTGACAAATAATATTTTCTCATCAGGGAAATCCTCTTTAATTTCTGAAATGTCAAGACAATCATGTTTGTTATCTAGCCTAGACAAATGGTTTACCACTTGATTTTCTATACCTTTTCTATCCTTGATCTCTAAATCGAATTCTTGCAGTAATAATATTCACCAAATTAGTCTAGGCTTTGCATCTTTTTTATTAATCAAATATTTAATGGCTGAGTGACTATGTGCAAAATTACCTTAGTGCCTATTAGATATGGCCTACACTTATCGAATGCAAATACTACTGCTAAGAGCTCTTTTTCAGTTGTGATATAGTTCACTTGTGAATCATTAAGAGTTCGGCTTGCATAATAGATAACATGAAAAATTTTACTTTTTTGTTACCCTAGCACTGCTCGACTACATAGTCACTAGCATCGCACATGAGCTCAAATGGTTCGTTCCAGTCTGGTGGGATAACAATTGGTGCTTCCGAAAGCTTTTTCTTCAAATTTGTGAAGGCATTCAAACAATCATTAGTAAATTCAAATGGATGATTTTTTTGAAGCAAAAGACATAAGGTTTAGAGATTTGAGAAAAGTCTTTTATGAACCGCCTGTAGAATTCTGCATGTCCAAGGAAACTACGTACACCTCGCACATTAGTAGGTGGGGATAGATTTGCAATTTCATCCACCTTGGATTTGTCGACTTTGATGCCATGGCATGAAATTTTGTGACCCAACACTATTCCTTCGATTACATAAAATGGCATTTTTCCCAATTTAGTACTAGGTTGGCTTTTCACATCGTTTTAACACATTCGATAAATTACCGAGCCATCGGTCAAAGTCATCGCCCGAAACGGAGAACTCGTCCATAAATATTTCCATGCACTCTTCCACCATATCTGAAAACATTACCATCATGCATCTTTAGAATGTAACTGGAGCATTACACAGTCCAAACGACATTCATCGAAATGCATAGGTACCATACGGCATGTGAAAGTTGTCTTTTCTTGGTCCTCAGGTGCTCTGGCAATTTGGTTATATCCTGAGTATCCATCGAGGAAGCAATAAAATGCTTTTCCCTCTAATTTATCCAACATTTGATCGATAAAAGGGAGGGGAAAATGATCCTTCTTTGTGGTTTTGATGAGCTTCCTGTAATCCATGCATATGCCAGCCGTGACTGTTCGCATGGTGAGTAACTCATCATGCTCGCTTTTGACCACGGTCACACCACCTTTCTTTGGTACACATTATACTGGGCTAACACATAAACTATCAGATATGGGATAAATTACTCTCGCATCCAACCATTTTATTATTTCCTTCATGATTACCTTCTTCATGATCGGGTTGAGCCATCTTTAGGGTTTCATCGAGGTATTGTGGCTATTATCGAGATTGATTTTGTGCATGCATATGGTCGGATTGGTTCCCTTCAAATCTACCATCGTCCAACCTATAGCTTTCATGTGCTGTGACAAAACATTCAACAAACTATTCTCCTGTTAGGAGGTTAGGTTGGCTGAAATAATCATTGGTAGGGTTTCATCAACTCCTAGATAAGCATATTTCAAATGTGATGGAAAAGTTTTAAGTTGTAATTTCGATACATTTTGTGAAGATGACTCTTGAGACTTAACTTCATCATAATCTAAAGGTTCCAATTTCATACCTGACCTATGAAGAAATCTCAATTGGTCCTTTGTCTTTCCTTCGCATATTGCCTTGGTATCGCTTTCTGGGTGTTCATTGCTCATATTTCTATGGTTGGAGCCATAATTTCAGAATCATCTTCTGAAAATAATTCGTCTTGGCTAAAGTTTTCTACTTCATGCATCTTTGTTGTAGGTTCATGTACAAAGTACTGTATTCATCGAGCCTTAGGGATTCACCTCGTCCAAGGATTTCCTTTTCTTCAATCTTATTAATGCATTAGCATTTCTCTGGATCGTCCGCGTATTTCATAGAATTGAATAAATTGATCGTGACTCTTTGCTCTCCAACTCTCATGGTGAATTCTCCTTTTTCACAATCTATTAAAATTTTGCCGGTGGCTAATAATGGGCGTCCCAAAATGATTGTTGCATTTTCATTGGCTTCGCAATCCAAGATGAGAAAATCAACTGGAAATTTAAATTTATCCACCTTTACTACAACGTCTTCAATTCTGCCCTCGGGTCGCACATAAGACCGATCAGCCAGCTGTAGGATGACTGATGTAGGATGGGCATGATATCTGTCTAGTTTCATGAATATGGACTTTGGTATCAAGTTTACATCAATAAGAGCTCGTCCTATGAAGTCATTAGCAATGGAACATGGTATCACAAAGCTGTCAGGGTCTTTTTGCTTTGGTGGGAGTTTGCTCACTGCTGAGCAAATTTCTGTTGCCATGGTAACACGTTCTATCTTTCTTTTCTTTGTAACAATTTCTTTTAGAAACTTGGAATAGGAAGGTATTTTCTCAATGGATTCAAGTAGGGGCACATTGATACACAACTGATCCAGAACATCAACGAATTTCTTGAACTGGATATCATCATCATACTTCTTCAACCGTTGAGGGAACGGTGGTGGAGGTGTCATCTACTACTGATGGTGCTGAGGAATCACTGGCCGTGACCATGAATTTCTTATTATCTGGTTGATGCTTTTCTGAGCCTTCACTTCTTTCCTTCTCTTTATGCACTTGCTCTCGTTCAGTATTCTCAAATTGATCAGGTTGTGTTACGCCATGGCTAGACTTGTTCAGGTGATCTCCCCCAAACTTGTCATATTGGTCGACTTGTTTTCCACTCCTTAGCATTAGTACATTAAATTGCTCCTTCCCATGATGCTTAGCAACTTCAGTATCACTAGGGAGATTTCCATGTGGGCGAGAATGTAATAGCGTGGCAATTTGTCCCACTTGATTCTCCAGCACTCTGAGATGAATTATGGCTTTGCAATAGTGTTGCTTGGCTTTGTAACAAATTTCCTTGATTTTTAATTGTTGCAGAATGTTCGTGCATCAAGGTCTTTGTAGAAGCCATGAAATCTTTTGTCGAGGCCATGAATTCCTGCAAGGATGATTTCAAGGAGTTAGTATTGGAATGAGTGTTAGAGGAAGAAGCTATATCTTTATTGTTCTACCAGGGCTGCTGATGATGCTGATTTTGAAAATATTGATGGTCGAAATTATTTTGTTGTGACCTGTAATTTGCGGTTTGATTGTTGCTTCCTTGATTATTCCATGAGAAATTTGGGTGTTGTCTCTAACCAGGATTGTATGTGTTCGAATAGGGATTCTTGTTGTTCCGATTATAGTTGCCCACAAAATTGGTTGACTCATGGTTTTCAGGAGATTCGCTTTCATGATGGTTGCCATGACAAAACATGCACACATTATTGGTTGCTTTGACTTCTCTTACCTCATTAAGACGTTGCAAATTTTTCAACATGTTGGTTATGGAAGAAAGTTGAGCTGCTACCGAATCTTTACTCTCTAATTCATATGCTCCAGGGGTTTTTTTGCCGGTTACCAATCTTGCACTTGGAAATTGTTAGTCATTATTTGCTATTTTGTCGATAATATCAAAAGCTTCATCGGATGATTTGTCTAGTAAGGTGCCATTCGCTGAGGCATCTAGCATCATTCAAGTTGGTGCGTTAACTCCATTGTAAAACATCACCACTTGCGTCTAATCGTGGAATCCATGGTTAACACATTTTCGAAGTAAACTTTTATACCTATCCCAATATTCGTACATTGATTCATCATGTCCTTGGAGAATACTATCGATGTCGTTCCGAATCTGTGTATTCATATTAGGTGGATTATATTAGATTATATTAGAGTAGGAAACTCTTGCATAAATATGCCCATGACTCCATTGATACGGAAGGAACTCCGCTAAGCCAAGCTCTTGCTCTATCACGTAAGGAGTAAGGAAAAAGCTTTAGTTTGAGCACATCTTCATGTACTCATTGTTGTCGAAATGAATCGCATACTTTAAGGAAAGCACGTACATGTTGTCTAGCATCTTCATTGGGTGTACCACCAAATTGGCCGATAGAGTTCAACATATTAAACATTGCTGGTTTAAGTTCAAAATGAGTGGCTTGTTTCTCGGGTGCCAGTATGCCAGAATTGAGGTCATCGAGAATTGGGTTCAAATGATCTCGTATCGCTCTTGGTCTTGCAACTTGGAGATTAATTGATGCATCTCTCCTAGATATCCCATGTCGTTTTGCATTTGATTCAAATGTTCTCTGGTTTTTTGGGCACGCAACCTTTGTCTTAATGATTGCTCAACTTTGGGTCGAATGGTTCCAAAGGTTTACCAGCAGATCTCAATGTCATGCAATAATAAAAACCTATAGAAGAAAATAAAAACTACGTTAGATTAAATAAATATAAAGTGACAAAAAGAACTTGTTATGGCAAAAAAAATTCGTCAGTTGCCAATCCCCAGTAACGGTGCCAAAAACTTGATCGCTTGTAAATGTATATGCTAAGGCAAGCAAATATGTACAAGTATACACAATCGATGCAAGTAATATAGTAGTGAGTGAGTATCGTCTCCACATGTTTTGAATTAGAAATATATTTTCACCACAACTAGAACTAATGTCACAAACTAAATCCAACTAAGTATTTGAACTAAAAACTAATACGAATAAACGAAGAAGAATGATTAAATTATTTCAAAATAATGCAGTCGAGACAAAGGAAATATGCAAACAGATAAAACAAAACAAAATAAGTATTGGTTTAAATATAATGCAAACAACCTCTCATATTCAGACGTATCACAGAGCACTAACGCTAAACTATTGTCTTGACAAAAATTATTCTAAGTTTTGAATGAATTATTATGCCTCACTAAGTGCCGACAGGATTACTAGGTATTCTTGGACGGTTGCTATGGTAATACCTCACGGTGTTAACTATAGACGTTGTCTTAACCTACTCTAGAAATTATCCCTTTTAGTCGCTTGAAACTCACTCCTTATCTCTAAGGTAGACAAGTTAGAACTTCACCATCCCGGATTCATTCCTTTCTCACGTTGATCTATCTTAATTCTCTTGAATCTAAGAATTACTATCTAGACAAAAGGATATCTCTCGATGCCCTCACAATTCCAAGACATGTTTTACCAAAACCATGTGCGATCTCTCGATGCTCTTATAGTGTTAAGGTAAAATATTTAAACTATGAGCAAAATAGTCATAAGCAAACATAATTCGTTATTCATAAACATAAAAATATTGTTTAGGAAAAACAAAGTTTAACACCAAGTAAAGCATTCATGGTGTTATCAAAGATCATGCAAGATTTAACCATTCAATACAACCCCAAATAAAATAAGAATTAAGAACAAAGGAAGAACGACTCCCAAAACCGGGGGCTCTATCGCGACAATCCTGATCAGTACCATGTCTGCCTTGGTGATCACCCTCTCTCGAGGCCTGATCACCGCTCTGTTATCGTCTGGCTATGGAGGACACCAAGGAAGATTGGTGGTTATAGTGGGAAAGCACTGCAGTTGCTTGCTCATGCTTTAGGTAAAGCTCTTCTCTCTTCTTCTTCCTTGCCTCCCCTTTTTCCAGCTCCGGCTGAATATTTATAAGGAAAAATCTCCTAGGGCTTTGCATGCTTTTGGAGTTTCTTTAATTAGTTGTTATTAATTTCGCAAGCTTAAAAAGGAAAGGCGACTAGCGGCTGTCAGAACAATCAAGGCTTGCTTGCACGTGAAGTAGGTCATCCAATTGGCATGTGACATAGGCGGTTTCGCCACACCTGCTTCAGACTTCTTCAAATAAATCTTGCCTTGGTGAGATAAATCTGCTCTTCACGTTCTCTTCTGTTCCGTTAACCTTTGCAACTTTTCATTGTCACGACTGAAATGTTCTTCCTTTGTAGAATTGCTGCACAAACACAACTCAACAACCCTTTCTCCTCAGCAGCATCAGTCAAGCCAAATAAATCTTGCCTAAGCAAAACTTATCTGCCATAGGCTAATATAACATATATGCAACTAAAAATGTAGTGCATACTTTGTTTAGACGATCAATAACTTAAGTAAAAAGATTAGAAATTGAGTCTTTTTACGGAGTTATCAGTTACTTAGGGTCAAGTGTAAATCTGATGCAGTCCACACTTTTGAAGCTGGAATGGGTAACACTCGACTAACCACTGTGATTCTACAACTAGCTGATCAATCACACGTTCGTACCTACGACATGATTAAAGATGTGATTGTTAAAGTGTATAAGTTTGTCTTTCCAGCAGATTTCCTCATTTTAGACTGTGAGGCCGATGAAAATACACCTATTATTCTCGGATGCCTCTTCTTAGCTACTGGGCATATTCTAA